AGCACAGAGCAGCACTTTGTGATGGAACTGGGGCAAATCCTGGCACAAACTGGTTTGTACCCGTTGTCCTGAGGTTTTCAAGAATTCTGACACCAGCAGGTCGGTTCTCAGCAGCACAGCCATCGGTGCCACACTTCCCAGGGTTAATAACACGAGCTGCACTTGCAAGCACTCCTAGGAGCCACGGTTTTACCTGTGCTCACCCCAGCGGCAATCCGTGTGGTCTGTCATACATCTCAGGCTCAGGGTAAATGCAGCAAAGTGGTGAGATAGTCACCAGTTTGAGTCCTGATGCAGACATACGTGCAGACCCTTCCTACCTACATACACAAGCATGACCTCACGCCATGTTGTTAAAGATAATTTACAAATCGGCAGATGATGGCAGGGAGGCTGGCCATTGAATACAGTCCTTTTGAAAGACTTGGCACTTCAGGAAAACGACAGATATTTGAAAATAGTATCAGCTTAATTTCCCTTTCTGCCCCATGCAAAAAAAGCTGTAAAGTGCTAGATTTTTTTCCTATAATCTGTTTAATTGCTTAATTTGTCTGATGTACATGACTGAACAAAGGGTAAGGCAATGAAAAACAGGCCATTATCTTTATCTGTTAGCATATTTTTATTTTGTGTAAATATTTAGTTTCAGTTTTATACAGGTTCTTACACTAGAGAACATTTTTCAAAAGCAAACAATTTTTACTAACAAAAGACTTGTCATGAGAAATTTCACTCCCCAAAGGTGAAGAGGAATTGACTTAACCAGCTAAATATTACAGGAATCCAAGTGAAATCATAAGCAAGAGACTGACTGCAAAACGAGCAATGTGTTGGAGCGTGCTATTCCTCCTGGTCCCAGCAGCTGAGAAGCCACTGCTCTCATTTTGCTTTGACACTTTTCCAGCATGTCGAATAGCAAATTAATACTGTATTTATTGAGCTTATCCTCAGTGGCTAGATGTTACTGAAATACAAGATTCACTTTGTAAAGCAGTTGTTCTTTTGATTGTGCCATTATAAAAATGTGGAAAGACTGTTACTCAGAAAGAAGGTCTTGATAAATGTTATGCTAGAAGAGTCAGAAGCAGTGTGGGGAAGAGGACATTCTTACAAATTGGCTTAATTATTGATTGAAGAAAAATGCTTTTGTCCTAGGAATTTCAGTATCGTAGGATGATGGTTCTAAAGTAAATGCATGTTCTCTCTTGTTCACTGTGGCATTGCTTTAATTTCACAACTCAGTAGCCCAGGCATCACCTGAGTTCCTAAAGAATTGAACAATTGATCCATAATTAATGGATGCACAGAGCAGGAAAACAATAGCAGGATACTTCTTAATACAACAGTCAACTATGGGGAATCAGGCTGTGTACTTGTCTAACTTTGTGAAATTGTTTTATTAACTTTCATTAGATCTACATGGCCACATGCTGAAAGACACTTTAAGAGCAAAAGTAATCTGAGAAAATGTTGTGTACCTATGCCAAATAACTTTCTATGAAGAATAACCTAAGAAGTTTGGTAAATGCACATGGAATTGTGTGCATGATGATTCAAATTCACTCCATGGCCACAGGAATCCTGAGCTTTTCTTTGTACAGATGGAATGAACTGAACAGGTGACATGTTCACATTGAATCACCCACAAGATATCTCAAAGTTTATATGAAAAAGGAAATTTCATCATTGAAGCTTCCTCCCTTCATCTTTTCGCCTAATTTCGATTTACATTGTCAAGGGAGAAGAGCCCTTATTACTTGGACTCTGGGCATGTTGTAGTATTCCAAGTAACCTTCCTTGCTTTCCGGACTTGTGGAGGAGAGGACCTCCTTGCTTCCAAACTGACCATTCTGGCAGGCAAGATCCATTCAAAGGTTTCCCATATTCTGGATTTTCCCTGTCACCATCCTCATGCCAGCATTACGCACCCACATGCATATGTGCTCCAACAGTATGGGCATGTACTCAGCAATTAGCTCAAGTTTCAAAGACTCAGGTTACCATAACACCCAGCTCTCGGATATGAACAGATGGCGTTTATGAACACACAGAAACTAGAAGGTAATCCTCTAAAGTAAGTTTATTTCTGTAAGCCTTTCAGAGTCATATGAAAATGATAGAGAGTATTAATCCATTGATCTGCTGAACAAGAGAAACAGAGCAATCTGGCTTGTCTGAGTATGTTTGGCTCTTAATGTGAATTTTAGCAAATGAAAACACATACAGAAACCTATATAGTTAGATTATCAGTTCAGTCTACAGTATCTGTTTTGCAGCCCTGGCTACTGACCTGATGGCTATCATTCAGCCTCAAGCTGGTCTCATCTCTTCTTTCTTTGAACATGATTACTGAAATGTTCCCAAGAAGAGGAACCTCAGAGAGCTGCATGGGACTGTCCGCATCCTGCAAGGCACCAAATATCTCCTGCATGATTGCTGTATACTCTGTAAATCAGCCAGCCATGTGCAATTGGACAACACAGATGAAATAAGTTGAGGTGTGCACTTTAGAGAACAGACTAAAAAAAAGGGTCATGTCCAGCTTAAAGCACTGCGAATCTCTGAAAGCCTCAAGCTGATAGCAGTTTGCAGAACGGGATTCTAAAATAAAGACTCCATTTCCCATCTACAGCAGATGGAACTAAATGACAGAACATGGATAAATATAGATGACTAAAAAATATAATATCTATTTGAAGCAAACAAATCACCATGCTCATAACTATCCAAGAAAAGGTACCCACCAGAAGGCACTGACCGGCATTAGCAAGCTCCTCCTGAGTTCATGCTGTATTTCCTCAGAAAAACACAAGCAAGTTGTTAGGCACTTGCCAAGCGCCTGTGTAACAAATGCTCCTAGACACCTGGTCTGTGGCCATGAGTGTTAAGATAACATACATGAAAAGCAGAGAATTTCAGACAGGCAGCTCACCTGGTCATGGACTGCTGATAAAGCTGGATCACATGCATGTGTAACATGAGAGGTATTTTGAAATGAGCTGGTGAGCATGTCACCTAGAACACTCTAGGACTAATGTTAGTGCACTTGCCCGGGATTTACAGTGATGGGGTTCTTAACCAATCTGGTGATTCAGTGAAGAAAAGCACCTCCACAACAGGCAAAGGCACTTTGCCTTTTCCTAGTCTGGAAGTCTACACCAAATTTCATCTGCAGGCTTCTTGAAAACTGGTTGGTTAAGGTTGGATTTTTTTGCTTCATGCTTTTTTTGATGCTAAAATTCAATAGCAGATAGAATCAAAACGCAGCCTAAATTCAGATCTGCCTTATTTAAAAGAATGTGCCAGCACTTGTCCATTGAACTGAAGCATAAAGATGCAAAGTAATTAACACATACACAAGTATCATCTACGTTATGGAGATGGATTCCTGTCAGGTGGGTGTACACTGTTTCAGTGTGGATAGACAGATGCTCTAGTCATTCTTTTAAAGGACCTAGAACATTTATAATGATTAATCACATTTCTAAAGCAGTAATGTATGCTACCATCTGTTTAATTAAATCTCATACTTCCAGACATACACCAGTCAGCTCGCAGGGGTCAAAAATTAATTCCCCCCTTTTTACATCAGGGAACAATTGGCTTACACCATTATACTTCTTATTCAGACCTTCTGGTTTTAGGTACCAACCACTAACAGAGATATGACTGACAGCATGACAGGAGACAAAACTACTTTAAAATGTAGAGATCTGACCTCAGATCTTGTCTGCTCTATAATTACTCTACAGTTTTAAAGTACCCATTACTTTGTACCTGAGACAGCTGCAGGTATTCTACTCTCAAGTGAACTAAAAGAACAAACTCAACAGGTTATGAAAAAACTAAACTGATCTAGAAACATTTGCTCACTTCTTCACATGCTTGAGTTCACATGCCCAGAGGCTTCTGTTTCATTCAGTGTAAAAAAGGATTTTGATAGGGTTGTATGTATCATCTGATCCTGTCCATTGCCTGAGATTTGTCACTATGAGTTTTGGGTTGTCTTATGTATGCCTAAAGCCTTTTCCACGTATTTCCTTTTACTGATTAAGCTCTTGGTTAAAAATGCTCAAAAAAAGTAGCCTTAGGGATTTTGAAGATTATTATGTCCTACTTTACTTTAATTCTGTAAAGGTACTAAAGTATCTGGATTTGAAGTGTTACATTTAATGTAAACTACTGAAGCATGCTTTACATTTCAGATTGAACTTCAAATACCACAACTCATACAGATTTGCACTTTACTGTGGGGTTTTTTCTTTGTTTGTTTGTTTTAATAGAGGAGTTGCTGAACTGACAAAATTTTCCATGGTACAGTATCTCAGGAGCATTTCTGCCCTCCGAAGTGTACAAGCTCTTTGAATCCCACCTGCTGCCTTTCATGAGGAATGTGCTAACCCTATGATCCAGCTAGAAAGAATGATCATTTCAGTTGCACTGATTCTTCTCCAAAGTGAGACAGATTGTTCTAAAATGTAACTATTTCTAATGTTTGATGCTAGAGTACGTCAGGTTTCTTTGACAGAGTGGCTGCTGAATCTCCTATATACACAAAGAGGAACTATTTCAATACCGTGTACTTGCTGTCAAGATACATCCATTTCTTAGCCAGATAGCACTCTCACAAATTGGCCTAGTTGTCTGAAGGAAAATTACCGCCTTTACTTGCATTTATGAACTTGATGGCTGGTTTATGCTAGAGTGAATTAATCACATTTATTACCTAGCTATGCTTGAGTCAAATATTCATACTATTCAGCATTCAGCAAATTTGTTAAACCTTTCTTGAATTCAAACCTTAAACTCAAACTGTTTATTGAAGGAGAATGACAACAAAGGATAATTTCTAGTGAGGTGCTTGCTGGCAAATATCTTGCTTATCTCTGTTAGATGTGGGAGCCTATTTCTTTTCTTGTGTCTTTTCAACTTCTATTTGGTCATGACAGTATTTACAAGAATAAGCTTTCCTATAGTAGGTCTGATCCTTCTAGCCAACAATGGCCAGATTCAGAAGACAAGGTAAGAAAACACTTCTGGGAAGAGTCTTGGAATAATCTGAACACTAGCCTTTCCACTGGCTGTCATCATTAGGTACTCAGTACAGGCATTGCTTATAACTTCTGCAACATTAATCTTGAGAAATATTCCTTCTGCACACAAAAGTGAACTATTATGTAAATCTCCTTAAAAGTATTTCTAAAAGTCACACTAAGTGAGATGTTCAGCCATCTAAAAATATCTGCAAGGCTGAACAGTTCCACAGTCAGACCTTCACACCCTGTTCTGATGTCTACAATTACTTCTGAACTTGCAGTAGCTGCAGTAGCTCCATGCTGGCAGGAGAATGTATTTAACACCACAGAGTGCGGGTTGAAACTCTATTTGGGGCAGAATAGGAAAGATCCTAATAAGGGTTTGAAGCCAGAGGTCCTTGAGAACCTCCCCAGATGCACAGAGATGACAGCACTCTTTGTTGATGTAAGTATCACTATTACCACAGTTTCATTCTTTTCTGTTATTTGAAACTTAACATTGTGACAAACTCTGGAGCCTTGGCAAGGGAATGCATTCAGCTTATCCTCACTGCCAGAGCAGAGGATTCTCCATGGCAGAAGAAATCTCATATGTGCTTTGGACACTGAATGAGTGGAAGAGTTTAGAAACTATCAGATTATACAGATTAATGGATCTGAATGCCAGAAGAGGATCCTGTCAAAATGTAGTTGGATTTGGTCCCCTACTGCAGGTTCCAGTTTGGTTCGGTTGTTTCCAAAGGGGACATCCAGTCCTGTTGGATATTTTTACAGAAACAAGCAGCTTGCTTATAGATCTCATAATCATTGCTTCCTGTGCAATCTGTTTGGCAAATATCCTTCTACATAAAGGAACCTCTTTAAATAATTCACGTTATAAATATTTTAATAATAGAAATAGTTTTTGCAGAAAAAATCCATGCCGGTGATTAATTTTTCAAAGGGGTTAGCACCCACCCAAAAGTCATTAGATAAATGTGCACAACTAATTGTTTAGGCACAACACTTGGACTTGAAAACTGCACGTGCCAAGGTGTAAGACCTTCCACCTAGTATAATCCCATCTCTGACAGACTGTCTCCGACAAGGGTAAAACAGAAGCATTGCTCTTATTGAAGCATCAGTGCAGGACAATGCTGAAATGCAGGACTAGGCTGACACAACTCGATCTGCTAAGGCATGCCCGTTCTGAACTGAGGTGTTTTACTAAGCTGGCCCGAAATAACCAGGTAAGTTTCAGAGCTAACTTCAGAAACATTGCAAACTGAAGTCAGAAGAAAACCTGCTTTCAGCTTTCTTGGAGCGAAGTTTTCCCCCCAAGTATCCAGTTAGTCTTGAGCTTCTGACATTTGACTCTTATAGTTCGGCATTCTGACTATAAACAATAACCAGTATAGACATACATTAAATGAAACCAAGTGGATTTATCATAATATGAAATTTTGGAACACTACAGGGCTTTAATCTCTCTGACACATCTGAGCTGGCACCTTAGTCTGTTTCTTCTTGAACAGATGGTGACATTACAGTCACCACAAACACTGAAGAAAGATTGCAAGAAAAAATAAATACTTATACACAGAAAATTTAGAGTTTGTGTCATGAAAAACATTGTTGATGCAGTCTAACACTCCATTTTGAAGCCTGTCCATATTTAAAACCTAAATCCCAGGCAGAGTACACAGCTTCCAAGTCTAATAATCCAAGAAAAAATGAGTTATTGGAAGCAGGTGAAACTAAAAATCCCTAAAATGTTATGCTAATAGAATGATGTTTTCATCATTTCCTTTCCTAGCATTTAGTGTTTTTTAGAGCACTCCTATAAGGAGTGATTATAATAGCATCTGGACGAGACTAGAGCCAGAACATTTTATTGTCCTGAAGCTTCTTCCAGAAAAGGCTCTGAAGGAAGAACACCTCTCCAGAATCTCATGTAGACCCACAGAGATAAAATCCTTTAGAAGGAAACTGATCATAACCCATGATCTGAAAAAGATCCCTTATGGATTATAAATTAGGAAGTTTGTCTACACGGATGCTCAAGCCCCTAAACTGTCAATATAAACCACGGGGCTGTGCCCCACATGACAAGATGGGTTGTGTTCTGCCTGACCAAGAGGTCACTGCCCCCAGCTTTTCGCTTGTCACATGGATGGCAGATGTCACCATTGTGGGGATAACTGGATGGCTTGTGAGGAACCATCAGACTCAGTAGTTTTCTGTTTGGTCTATTAAATAACCTGAGATTGGTTCATTTAATTCATTGATTTGGAAATAGAATATTTTTAGGAGTCTTTAATAAGATGTTCTGGTGTCCCTGCAAACAGAATGACAATACATCAGCCAGGGTCAGGCAGTGAGCTGGAAGGTCTAGGTGCACTTGCAATCCAATTTTAATTCCCTAGGTGACTGTTGAAGCCTCTACTGTTTTGGACTTGCACACATACAAACCTGCACTGCCTAGGTGGCCCCACCCAGTGAGAAAAACCTCAGATTGGCAGCTACAGCTTAGCTGAGGACTGAGGCTGAATAGATATTTGCTCTTGGTTTTCCCAACAGATAGCCCAATTGGATTCAGCTGTCAGAGCTGATATTACTGTCCCCAGCTATGCCTTGGCTGGGCAGGTGGACTTGGTTAGCTGTTACAACTAGAATACAGTCAGTCATGGGCCCACAGCCAAACATTTTTACAGCTATTAGTTTTGAATGCTCTATGGTACAGGTCAAAGAAAAGGATTTAATATATAAAACCACCTACTATACAAAATAGCAATCCTGCTCTGTACCCCATCAAGGCTGAAACTCATGTAGATAAAATAATTGCAGCATCTTTCAGATCAAGAACCATTCAAAACAACAGTGATCACTGTAATGGGAAATATATAATAGGGAAGTATTACAGAATGCAAGTAAATGAAATAAAATGCCTCTGGGCTGAAAAGCAGTAGGAGAAAAACTGAGGTAAACCATTACAGCATCAGATTAAAATACACAGTTAATCGGGTGATGACTAGAAAAAAGGAAAAAAAAAAACGCTGTCTAAGAAAAAGCTCCATTTATTACTGTTCAACAGCTAAACCAGTGCTTTCATCCCCCAGTAACTGCTTAAAACAATTGCCAGCAGAGTTCTCTGCAGCTGGAAGGATTATCTGACTCTTACACAATTTCTGTTACTCAGGTTCATTTCTGAGAGATGTGGTTCATAAACTTAAAGGGATTGGTAGTATTTTTGGGATTGCTTTAATGTAAAATTCACTGCTAACATGATTACATCCTGATCATCTGCTAAAGAGAAGTCCGAGATACCCAACAAAAGTACAGTGAGCTTATGGTTCAAGGCTCCAAGGGAGGTTGTAGTAGCTATTGGACCTGGAGGGAATTAGATGCATTTGCCAGCTTTCGAAAGTTTGCAGGCTTTATCACTGAAGGCTGTTGGAAACACTCCTAAGAGCATCTGGAACTTATAACAATATTTTCCAAAGGTTTGTTGTAGTTCATGATCCTTGGGCAATTTCCAAAGAACCAGGCAATTTTACAATTAGAAAGCAATGCAAAAGCCAGTGGCTGAAATTCATTTCCCTTAAATTGCAGGATTAAAAATCTCAAGAAAGAGTCAAAGGAGTATGAACCTGGCATACAACAAAATTGAGAGGTCCACCTGTGAACTTCTGTGGCTGTGTTTCACACAAACCTGGTTGCATTAGAACAAAGTGGGCATCATGAGTATTATAGCGACTCAAGTCATACTCACCCGACTCCTTAGCTGTCCTTCCACTGAGACTTTCTGTGGGGTGTTTGATGTTCTACATACAACAAATAATAGGCGAAAATCCTATTTAACAACACATTTTGACAACTTGTATGCAATATCTTGAAATCGATAGTACTGCAGTGGCTCAGCAGCCCTCAGGGCACACTATGAAGCTATTATCACAAACTGTGGGATCTTCTTTCAGTTCTACTTGGCCAGATAGCAATCATTCCTAGTTCATGTTATAAATATCAACTATTTAACAATGATCTTTAAATCAGGGATGATTTCGATGGAGAGGGGGGCAGGATAAATTTGTGTAAAGAACATGGTAGCTCACCTGACAGAAAAACTAGCCAGTAGCCTAATCACTGTTTTCCAAAGGAGAAGAGGTACAAGAATAGAAAGAATAAACCTGAACATCAGACAGACTTTCATATAACCACATACACTGGATAACTTGTGATGGAAACTGAGATGGAAACCAGCACTATACTTAGAGTTATTTTTTCAAATACTCACATGCTTTTACACTACATCCCTGAATTCCTAAAATTTGACATAATCTAGTAGTATAGTCTGGCCTACAACTTAGTATCTACACAATACTCATTCATTACTAAGCTGCAGAGTATTGATGCAAAGTGCTGCTCTAAATAATTATCCTCTTGGCTGCACTTGTAGATAAGAGTCGTCCAAGGGCTAATCAAATGGGTAGATTCAGTTACCTACAAAGCACCCAGAAATTTATGTAGATATAAAATTAAAATGCCAGGAAATGCACCTAGGCTAGATACATGCTTCCTCCCTTAAATCTATGGTTCTGATATTTCCCTTTGTGGGCAAGGCTGAGAATTTCTCTCTCATCCCATCTGAAGCATGTCTACATGTGATAAAAATCCTCCTCCAGATTCACATCTTAGATATTTCACTCATACCGCCCCTTCCTTTCTTAAAAAAAGCTAGCTTAGAACTGAAAGAAACACTGCCCTCTTCCTACAATTAGGAAAGCAGCCTCTCTGATCCTTTGTAAGCCACAGGGACTATGTTATACCATCTATTACTTGCCTAGGAGAATGGGCTAAACAAGGAGATAAGGTCTTTGAAGCATGATTAATTTACAGAGGCCTTCCCACTACAATATAAACTGCTATCCAGACAGATATACATAAATCTTGTTTTATTTTTGATACAAGAATGACTGCAGCAGTGGGAACAATGGTTATCTGCACTAC